AATATATATTAGCTAATACTATTAGTTTATTCTATCTAATTAACGGTATCTATACAACGTATTATTAAGTAGACCTATAGCCTACTAGGTAGCCGATATAAGCTCTCTACTTAAGGGGTAATTACGTCTTATATAACTTAATATATTCTAATACCGTAATTATTATTAGGAACGCTATATAGCTAAAGACCCTTAAATATATAATATCTAGTTTAATATCTTTAATATAGTAATATAGTAGATTATTTTCTTTTATCTAAGTCTACTAACGCTTATATAGGCTTTACTAGCTATAATTATATAATTTAAAGGGTATTATATTAAGTAGGTATACCGCTATACGGTATATCTCTAGCTATAGCTCTTCTAGAAGCTTTAAGTTAAGCTTTATAACCCTTACTTTTTCCTTTACTATTATAAGAGTCTTTAATTATTATAGGTAATAGGCTTAGGCCGCGGCCTAAGCCGTATAGTTATATATAAAGGGCTAGATCCTATAAGTATAGGGGTAGGCTAGCTACGTATAAAAGAGCTCTATATAGCTTATTAATATTATCCTATAGACGGTACCTATATATACGCCTCTACTTACTCTATAATAGTATAAGCTATTAACTAATAGATCTAATAGATATCTCCTTAGAAAGGGTGCCGCTTCCTTAAGGGAGCACCCCGCTACCCCCTAGGCGGATAGGAAGTATTATAGCTATCTTAAAAGCGATTAAAAGCGCGACGGCTAGCGAGAAGAACGAGGTTCTCGCTATACTAAGGGAGCCGTCTACGAAACTAGCGTTAACCCCTATAACCTTAGTAATACCGGTTACGGCAGCGGCACTACCGATATAGAAGCTACTTCCCTAGCCGACTTAGGACGGTAAGCCTAAGTCCTTCTACTTCTTCCTTAGCTAGCTATAGATAAAGTTTATAATAAACGAGAAATAGGGCCTAAATAGCTATCGTAATATAGCGTAGTATTTGCTCCTCTATACGCTACCGGAGCCCTAGATATAGCGGATCTCTAGATTCTAGGATAAGGGCGGCCTTAGAGGTAAACGCGACCTATAGGACTTCTTTTAATACCTTATATATACGTTTAGCAACGTATAGGAGCAGGAGAAAGCGTAGGATAGGCTATAGACCCTTAAGTAGAGGAATAGGCAGACCTTTAGCGAATTCCTCCCTAACTTCGAAGAGACGCTCTTATAAGTAGTAGGAACTACGGTATAGGAAGATAGCGCGAAGCTTATATAGTTATAGAACTTAATTACGCTAGCCCTACGGGAGCTACTTATCCCTATAATTATACCTACTAACTATAGTAAGTATATAAGCTAGTTAATAAAGGTAGTATAGGGCTATAAGTAAACGCCGCGTTTTTAAAAGCTTTATAAGCGTACGCTATATAGCGGTAACGGGATTACTACCCCTTTATAAAAGGAATAGCCGACTATTAATACTAACGGAGATACCTTAATATCGGCTACTTATATAGACCGAGCTAAACGTAGTAGGAAGTCGTCTTTAAATATCCCCTATACTATCCCTCTCTCTAAGTAGTAGGCGAAGTAGGTAATAAGCGAGGAAATCGGGAAAAGGAAGGCTAATAGCCGCTACTTACGTTATAGCGCGTCTATATACTTTATATTAAAATGCCCCTTCCTTTTAGCTAAGCGGCCTATAGTAGTTTAAGTAGCGAAGATAGAACCGCTCCTTACCTTAAACGATAAAGAGGACTCCGTCCTTTAGCTATTTTTCGATATTCTATTTAGCTAGATTACTATATTTCTAGCCTATCGGGGGCTTCTTATTATATATTACCTATAATAAGTAGTAATTTTCCTACTAGCTTATTAAGCTATTAACGTGCTACTTATAGCTAGCGTATTTAGCTTAGGTATCTAATTTCCTAGAGATTTAATTAGCGCTTCCCCTTTTTATAGGTAGTTATAACTTCTTTCTATAAGTATATTCTTATTTAAAGTTAGCGATTAGGTTCCTTAAGGGAAGTTAATCTTTACTATGTCTTTCGTTATAGAGGTCGAGAGCCCTTATTATTATAGACTAATATAGGTCCTACTTATCTACCGCTATAAGAAAGTCCTATCTAATTCTTATATCGTTAAGTATATCGACCTTAAGGTCTCGTAAATCTATAATAATTTAGTCGAGCTATTCTACCTATGCTTTCTAGTCTTATATACCTCTTTTATTAATAGAGGTTATATATCTCTCGTAAATTAGCTTTTTCTCCTCTGCCCCTAAAGGCAGGGCTTGCTTCTTTAATTCCCTAATTTTCTCTCTTAGGCTATTATATATTAGGGTTGTCCCCTAAAGCCCTTTACTAATCGTTTTCTTAATTAATTCTTCGAGTGCGATTAGGGCTTTCTGCTAGACCTTATAGCGATCGAATTATAGCTAGAACCTTTTCTCGAGGTTATAAAAGGAGTCCTTTGCATCCTAGTATCGTTTATTATAGCTTATTCGCCTCGCTAGGAACGCAGCCTCGGTTTTATCTTCTCGTTAGGATAGTCTCCCTCTAAGGTTAATAATAAATTGCTCCTAGTCCGGCTATTAGGGCTATTTAAGCTCCTTTATACCGTCTAGGTTAGTATATTCCTAAATCTCGTAAGTCTAGGCCTACGATTTAATCCCCTTAATCTATAGGGTCTAATCGAGGCTTTCCTTTAGTCTTACGATATAATTATCCCCTCTTACTTCCTTTAACGTTATCTTAGGAAAATAAGGGGTTCTAGCTTAATAAGTAATATCCTTCTTTAAGGGATACGTAATTCGTATAATTCGTGTGTTTCTAGTAGTGCCCCTTAGTATAGCTAGGTTCCTTGCCTTAATACTATAATTTAAGCGTTATAACGGCGTTAATAGCTCGTAAATAGCTTTAAAGGTAATATCGGCGGGCAAAAGATAGTCTAGCTATATAGGCCGGGCTTATAACTCTTAAGTAGTAGCTTAAGAGCATAGTAGAAGAAATAGGGGCATAGAAAGGTAAATTTAGTAATATATATCTTCGTCTATCTATTAGGATAAGGGAGGGGCTTATATAGGTATAGTAACTATATATAGCTAGCTAAAAGAGGGCAATAGGATATTCCTATACCTAAGTTAGGCCTATATAGTATCCTTAGGCTAGAGGAGTTATATTATTTAGGCAGGCTTCCTTATATATAACTATTAGGTCTACTAAGTATAACTATAGCCTCTTATACCTACTCTCTCTCCTTAATAGTAACTATACGGCTTAAGCTATAGCCTAAGCCTATTACCTATAATAGTTAAAGACTCTTATAGTAGCGTGCTTTAAAAGTATAAGAGTCTATAGTATAAGCCTAGAAATAACCGCGAGGAGTAGCGATAGCGCTAGTATATAAGCTCGATAGAGCCTTATAAAGCTCTATAGTATAAATAAACGAGAAGGTAGGAAAGAAAGCTATAAAACGCGAAGATACGCTATCCTTATTATACCCTTTAACCGTTAAATATAGAACCGCCCCCTCTAAAGCCTAAGAGAAGACTAAAGGCCTATACTAACCTTTATAAGTATAAGAGCTCTACGCTTATCTAGCTCTATATAGGAAAGATAGGTCTTAATAGCTTTCTTTATTATAGGAACGTACTTAGCGCGACGATACCCCTCTACTAGTATAGTAGCGGGGAAGAAATAGTTTTTTACGTCTTCTTCCGCTACCTCCTATAAGCTAATAACTATAGGCTCCTCCTAGTCGCCCTCCGTACTAACGCCGATCTCCGCGCGCTTCTTATACGACCCGATATAGCCCTATCTCTCGTCCGATAGTTTCTTAACTTTCGGCCGATACCCTACTATAAAGTAGTAGTAGATCTCGCGAGAAGCTAGACTACGTACGCCGCGACGACACGACCACGAGCAGACGGAGAGTAAAATAAGAGAACACGGTAGTAGTAAATATCTTTATTCTTATCGGCTCCTAATTATAAATAACGGCGAACGACCTATAAGCACCGCTATTAAGCGACCCCCCCCCCCCCGGCCCTTAGTACGGCTTATATTCGGGAGCTTAGCGGGCCGTGGGTGACCGGCCGAACTCTAGCGAGAAGAGGTTTCTAAGAGAAGGAGGTATAGGCGGGATAGAGTTCTCCGTCGCGCCGCGCGCGCGTTAACGGCTATTCGGGTATAACGCGCCTACAGGACCTAACGCCCCGGCCTAAGTTAGGACGGAGGTCCCCCACCTGCACCAGGCTGGCGGCTGCGACCTATTTTGCTTAACATCGCGACGACGGCGGCCCGCGGGCCGAGGCAGATAAGAAGGTTGTATATAGGTTTTCCTCCTAGGCCACCGGGTTTTTCCTATATTGGTAACGAGTAGAGGCTCTAGAGCCTATAGGCTAGCTAGTATAATAAACTACTACTGCTACTACTACTACCACTGATCTCGCGACACGCGACTTCCAGGCCGGCATTAGCTATGTCGCTGTCTCACGGGTTACGTCGCTGCAAGGCTTACTCCTTGAGGCGCCTTTCGATCGTCAGAGCCTCTATAACCACACGCCGACGTAAGGTTATACGCCTGCGTTTCCTACGTACTGCATTCACAGCTGACTATGAGACAGGGATGAAGATGCGCCTCGCCGACCAACAACGGCGTCAGGCTCAACAGCTGACCGATCCACTATATCCACCACTATACCGTGACTAAACGTCGCCTTCCTACAAGCTACAGGGAAGGGGGAGGTTCAATATAGGGTATCTGGTTAGGATAGGCCAGCCAGGAATCGGTTCAAACAGCTGGTTGGCCGCTGCAGGCGGAAGGGGGTTCTAGGGGCTCCCCTCCTAAGAAAGTCGAATTGCAGGTATACGATGTTCACCCTTCGGGCTGGATATTCAGCCGTTAAGCCCCATGCATCGGCAACTTAACGGGTGTTCGAAATATTTTACAACTATGCAAGAAACTTGTTGGATTAATGTCAAGTCACCCTTCGGCTGATGAATAAAGGCGTACCGCTATTTAGTGCTCGCAGAAATTAAAAGTCACTGAATCGAGGTCGTCGTTTACCTTGCTCTGCAACATGGATCGCTCAGACATGAGGCTGAGCCGAATATCCTTGGCCTCATCCTCGTATATAATGTCACTCGCAGCTAAATTGCCCTGCCTATAGCCACCATTCCAGTGTGGCTGCTGTGGTGGGACATTGGCTTTTGAAATAATGGGAATGGCCGGATCGACCAGGAAAAGCGCCAAAATCTTGCGATGACCTGGGTTGCCGCGGTCTGCAAGCGAAAAGGGCATGACGCGATGCTGCACGATATTTGGAAAGAACACAGCCCGTCCCTGACACGTAAGGACCGAGCCTATCTCTTGGAGAACCGTGTCGTGCCCACGATCGGCATTGATTGCAAAGGTGCGAGAGATGTTGTAGTGGTCATTCTGCTCGTAGCGAACCATCCGGAGCTCCTCCTCGTCACACCGGGATCGGAACGCCAGGCGTGACTCGGTAATGTTCTCGCTGTCGTAGTAGAAAAGTGCGCTCGCACAAATGTGCTCGTTAAGCAGCCCTTCGATATGCCAGGAGCCGCCGGTATAGACGGGATGCTCGGGCGTCAACTCGATGTTGGCGAGCTTGACAATGATTTGTATGCGAGATGCATTGTTAAAGTAACCGGACGTCTTGACGTCTTGAGGGCGTAATTTAAAGAGCACTGGCTTTTCGCTGTTGCCTTCTTCGTCGTCACTTTCTTCGCTGTCGCTATCCTCTTGCTGCGATTCCCCGTTCCGCGGCGGTTCTGTCGCGTTTGGGAGATGCAGGGGATGCGTCGAATCAAACCACTCATTGTCCAATCTCACTCGGTCAGGGTTCAGTCTTTCATCCTCGGCCTGGTCATCTTCGATGCGCGCAGCCTCGTCGTCCCCAACCGGCCGGTTCCAGGGGTGGCACTCATAGTTTGCCTCGCAAATCTCTGGTGTTAGGCATGTGACAGCGACACGGTCCGTGCAGAGTCGCTTGCAAGCGAATTCGTCTGTCCAACGGTAGATGATGTCCCAGGCTGGAAGAGATTGCCAAATGAATTCGTTGATTATGCCGTAAAGCTCGACATTGCTCGGGTGCAGGTTGTTGATATAACTCTTGATCTTTGTGCGCCCATGTCCATCAATCTCGACATTGCAAGGGAGCCACTGGAATTGAAGAGATAGAGCCGAGAATTTAGTCTCAAGCCCCATCCAATTACGGGCAACGACGCTCTGGCATGGATCTGGCTCCGCAACTGTGTTGCCAAGCCCCTGCGTACTGATACAGCCCTCAACGTCGACGGTCCCTTCGGAAAGCACACGCGTGCGACCGTAAATCAGCGGCCACAAAGAAGGATGCACAAGATTGACGACTTTCCGACCGGTATTTGGATGCCAGTCTTTGCGGTTTGTTGGTATGTTTTCAAGTCGTCGAATTGCTGCTTGGAGCCGACTGAATAGGCCCGGGGACAGATGATCCGACTTGATAATGCAAGTTGAATAGTCAAAAACAGGAACGAGTTTAGCTTCCTGATATAGACTTGCTTTCTTGCGCAGCTCAGCGACACACTAATAGTTGTTGGATTAGTTTCGTTGGTTCTGATTACGAGCCATGGGTATACTCACAGCATCAGCCATGGCATGCGTAAAATCTGCAAACTTTCGATACCTGGTCCAGTTCATCTGTAACGCCTCTTGCCTCCATTTTGCAGAAATTTCGGGATCCCATATCTTTTGCCACCATTCAGGCTTATTCGTAAGATCTTCCATCATCTTGAGCATGCAGACTTCTCGAATGAGTAGCGTAGTAGTCCTCCAGTCTCCCTCTCCATTGCTCACCAAAGTTGGAAACCGCTCTGTACGGGGGGGCAGGTAATTGACCGGCAGTCCAAGACCTGGCCTCTTAGGGCCTCTTGTAGTTTCAGACGAAGAAGGATGGTGGACGGAATTCTCCTGTGGTGGTCCTTGAGAAACTTTGTCGGCGTCTGGTAAATACGCCCATATCCTGATGTGGTCTCCGTCGCCGGTTGCAAAAGTCATTCCAGCTGGAGAAGCGCTTATACACGTAACGGTATTCATATGCGCGAGAACGGTAGCCGTGGACACGGCCGTCTTTCGGTCCCAAATGCGGACGTGTCGGTCTTTGGATCCAGATAGGACCCACCGTCCATCTGGCGTCCAGCACACGCAAGATACAAGGTCCTGCGACCTGTTAACAAAATGATGGCCAGAGCGCAAACAGGTCAATACATACACGATGCCCATTCAGGGTGCGAAGTTGCTTGGCCGGAGTCCTCGTCTCATTGCCCGAGGCATCGGTAGCTCTTTTGCCCAAGTCCCAAAGGCGCACTGTCCGATCTAGACTGGCAGAGGCCAGGCGTCTTCCCTTTCGGGACAATGCAACCGACGACGTTGAGTCTCGGTGCCCTTCTAGTTGTTCCACGACATTGCCGTTGGCGCTGTCCAAGACAGTGACGACGTTGGCGCCGCCAAGAGCGAGATGCGTTCGACGTCGACTCACGGCCATACTGATAACATTGTCTTGCGTAGTTGATAAAGTTTTAACTTGTTGCCTTGTTTCCAAGTTCCAGAAACGAATGGTCGAGTCGCGAGAAAGTGAAACCAGGGTATTGAAGTCTTTAAAAGCGAGCGAGACAACTGCCGATTCATGACCGCTCAGAGTGTCTCGGAGGCAACGAATTTCAATTTCCCATACGTAAATGGTGGCATCTTGACCGCCTGCAACCACGAGTTTGTCGTTGGGGGAAAAGCAGACGTTTGTAAATCGGTCAAGATGCTGGTCACCAGCCGATCCGCGGTCGGGTTTCAGCTCGCAGATGGACTGCCCGGTCGCCGTGTCGAAGATTGTCACAGAAGAGCCATATGCAGCCGCAAGGTGGCGGCCATCAGAGGAGAAGGTCAAACTAAATGCGGGGCTGCGGACTGGTATCGTGTGCAGAAGTCGTACGTCGAGAGCTCGCGGAGGTGCTTCGTTGTAAACTGCATACCAGCCCTCACCCTCCACCTTGAGGTAATCAGGGATCTGCCCGAGATCTAGGTTGGACATGGCAGTGAAAGAACTGGGCGTGTCCCTTGATGAAGATGGAATGTCTAGTGAGGGGACGAATAGATTTCATAAAGATAGATTTCATAAAGGTGATATGTGCAGCACTCGTGTAGACAGGATTGATTAATTGATTTATGAATGGTTCGACACGACTAGCCCCGGAGATTGATGACGTAGTACATGTAACCAGCTGAGCGCCGAGTGTTTGCAAGTCGCGAGTCAAATTTAATTGGAGGTGTTGTACTCAAAAGTGAGGTGGACACGTTGTTGCGGCGGATAATAACATAAGGGGTAATAATTATCTGCCTAGAGCGAGTCATGTTGATGTTGTACGTTCAATATTTGCGAATCATAGGCTCTCGGGGTACTTGGGCGTGGGCCTAGGCCACGGCTCCGCACCGTGCATGCACGCGGCCGCAAACTGTCTTCAAATGGCCATGATGCCCCTCGTCCGGGCCGTGCGTCCAGACTCTGGCCAAGTTCTGCGGCGCCGCCAGTCCATGCCCCGCCGTCCGTCTCTAGCACTGTGCGCCGTCCCCAGAGCCTGTCCGGCCCATGTACCCGCCCTGCACCATGCACTGCCGCGGAAAAGCAAGGTGACAGTGTAAAAGTGCAAGAATAACGCTGCAATTGCCTGCCTATCAGCGCCTGAAAAAGTTTCAGGCAGGCAATGGCTAAATTGCACTCTTTCTTAGCGACTTTCCCTTTTATAGGCATCTTCGCGGCCCCTGTAAGGCCCCTGCTAGCTCGATATATCGTGAACAAGGGCACGTATGCAAATAAGGAAGAACGACGACTTCGAATTACACCGAAATTTGCAGCTAACCATAGTACGAATACTCTTTTATCCGAGTCCGCGCCTGCCTTATTTTCTTTCAGGCGTTGTACAGAGGCAGCCTTCAAAAGTTATCGGCCACGCTAAATTAGACCCTGTAAGGAAAAAGGAAGTAGCAAAGTAAACAGAGTGCCCCGCACGCGATTTTGTATGGCAGCCGCCCCTCCGCCTTTCTCAATATTCCCGACAACAATGAGGCGAAAAACAGATATCGCGACTCGAGCCCTCATTGTGGTGCTTCGAGGCGGCGGGAAATCGGCTGCTGAAGTTACTGCCTTGACTGGCGTGCCTCTTGGAACAGTTAAATGTATCTATACACGAGCTCTTCAACGCGGCTTTAAGCCAGATACGCCGCCCTTGACCCTTCGAGACGAGTGGCTCTAAGATGCCCCCCGTTCTGGCCGTCCCTCTAAGCAGCCTACAATCTAAGATGAGGTTCTCACGAAGGTTCGCCGCGATAGATACGGAAGGGAAAAAAACTGCGCTGATATTGCTAGCGAGCTGAGCTTAGCAGGGCACCCGGTCTCAGCAACGACTGTATGGCGAGTCCTCCGCTTAGCAGGCTTCCGGAAGACGAAGCCTACGAGGAAGCTAGGCTTAACGAAGAAGATGCGAAAAGAACGACTAGCCTGGTGTCTTAAGGAGCTACCGCAAGAGAAGATATAGGCTTAGATTGAACGAATCCCTCGTTATATGCAGAAAATAATTAAACTTGAGGGCGGCAACGAATATCGCGAGGGCAGGCTAGATTAGGTATAAGCTGGGAACGGTGCTATAGTAATTTGGTTGCTACTTTCTTTTTCCTTACAGGGTCTAATTTAGCGTGGCCGATAACTTTTGAAGGCTTCCTCCGTAGATCAGGCCCTTTTCGATTTAAGTCTCCAAATCTACGCGTCTATTAAAATAAACCCTGCCCGGAAGACGTCACGACTTATGCATATATTTTTGTGTTCAAACCGGAAATCACGAGGTTGCCAACAAGCCTCGGCTGATTCCACTCTAATGCTCAAGCCCTTGCCCTGAGCCCTGTAACTGCTACTCATTGCGGGCTCGGGCGTTGCGAAGTCCAATTTATGCATAACCCTTTGAGCACACCCCACTCGCGATATCCTTGCCCCTAAGAAGACGCAACTTGATCGGTCCCACAGATTCCCACGATGCCCGTTCGTCTAAACTACTACGCGCGCGACTTTTTAAAGCTGAAGGATCGTATATGTATAAAACCCCCGGAACGACCGAGGTCGAGCTCTCAACACAACAACTAGCATCTCTCCCTAAGAACTACCACCCTCAAAAACGCAAACATGAAGCTCCTTGCCCTCGCCGCAATCCTGCCGCTTGTCGTGGCCGCTCCCTCCCCTGAAGCCGACTCCGCCCGGGTGCAGCTCGTTAACGATCACTTCTACGAAGGTCGACCCGTCGGCGACTTTATGCAACACCGGCGCAACGAGCAGCTCAATGCGCCGTCATCGGAGACCGCGAAGAAGCTCGACTGGACTACCGACGGCTGCTCCGTGCCTGGCGTCCGTCAGGCGCTTGCCAAGTACCCCGGCCTGCCCAAGTTCTTTGATTTTGCCGACCCTTGCACGCGTAACGACTTTGCCTACCGCAACTACCCCAAGTCGGCGCTGAACTCACGCAGGAATGCAGTCGATAAGCAGTTTTTGGAAGAGTGAGTCTCTCATCCCACTGATGAGACAGATATGTGACTAACGCGCAACAGCATGAAGGCCGTCTGCGCTACGAGCATACGGATTCTCAAGGACCCCTGCTTGGTTTTGGCAAATAGCTACTACGCAGCCGTGAGAATCATTGGAGCCGAGCACTTTGGGCAGAAGACGGGGCGTGCCGAGCGCGTCCACAAGTCGTGGTGGCAGGAGCTGCAGTCAAACCAGACTCAGGATATACTCAACAGTATCGAGCAGGCCGGACAGGCGCTGGAGAAGGAGAAGAGTCGGGTTAGCCATTCGAGACGGTTACCGGCCAGAACGGGGTTCTAGCAGGCCTGACTTCAATTCAAGTAAGTCGACTTTAAGGTTGTATCTAATTACTTGAAATGAAATTGCCTGTGTCTCACGAAGGATGAGCAAAGCTGGCACATAGATCAGGGACTGGAGAACTCTTGATTTATTACCTAAGGATCAAACCTAGTTGACTCTTTTATAAGAATGAGAGTGCTCAATGTTTACAGAGTGTAAACAGACTGAGGTTGCTGCGCAACCTCCGTCTACAGTGTTGAAGTCTATCTTGATCATCAACCACGTTACGTTTGCTGCTCAACGGACACACTCGAGCCCGTCAGATTCCAGAAGGAGTTGGAAACTACTCGAAGCGCATCGATAAGGCTTTGCCGGGCAAGCACCCGCAAGCTGTACGACGAGCCGAAAAGAAAGGAATCGGAAGTGTTGGTACAGCTTCGAACTGGCAAATCGCGGACGAATAGCCCCACCCCCGCCCATTTCGGCCTGCTCGCTCTGCCCTTGAGCCCGGCAGGTCATCCGGTTGGCCCCTTCCGTCTTTTTCCGCCTTGGGAGCAGCTGGTTCGTAATCGGAAGAAAATACCATCATCAATAGTTTGCTGGTCAGTCAATGCCATGCATTGAAGCATGAGGCATTGATAGGGCCCACAAAGGCTAGAACTGCTGGCGCGGTAAATAGTGGGGCTCCGGGCGGATACTGCCGAGATTCAGCTTTTCTCGGCTGCTTGGCCCAGGAGACGAAAGCATTATCCTATTTAGGTTAGTATCATTTTCGAGCTTCTTGGAACTCGAAATAGTGCAGGCGGTTTAGCGCACTATCATCCACTAAAAGATGTCCCTACTTCCCCGTTTAGGAGATTCAAGCCGTGTTATGTTAAATGCATGATTTAGCAGTCAACGACGCTAACGTAAATGGGATACTGCCTGCATTCGTTTCATCGGCCGCCGAAAAAGCTGTAGGCAAAGCGGGCCAGGTTAACCTTATAGCCAAAGACCTTGCACTAACCTAAATAGGCCAATGCGTCAGAAACGCGCCCAGGCGCTCAGGGATAAATGGGCGCCCGGGCGCGCGTGTATCAGTCGCCGGCGGTGCGTGTACGGGGCGGTGCACCTATTGGCTCCCCGCAGCGCTTAGTTGGCCCCCGAAGGGTGGAGCCAATGGGATAACGGGGGCTAGGCCCGTGCAGGCTTTGGTGCCCACTCGGCCATTTGAGAGCCACCTCACGTTTCTCCATTTCAGGGTTTTTTTTCTCTTTTCTCCTCACTCTAGGATACTTTTCGCAGTCATGCAGCCAGTTTGCCAATACACTCAGTTGAGGCCGTTACAACACCGACGCGGAATAAATTCGTTTATCGTTTGTTTCTATACGGTCGTATGAAAGCTGTATACTACCGTTCCTTGTCTTTAAACCTCTCTGAAGAGCAACTCCTGCGGCTTTGACCCAATTTGAAACCGGCTGACAATAACGAGAGGAGTCCCCGGAATCTGTTCGCAAGGTAAATTTTCGATACGAAAACGGGGTATTTGCCACGCACGCCCGAGTTACCCAACTGCAATTTAAGCAAACTATGGCTTGCACCTATTCCCGACCGCGAAAAGTCAGCCTCGTCGACCTACCCTACGACATACTGGACAGAATTTACAATTTCGTCCTTGTTGAAGATCCAAGGTGGGAGAAGGAGCATAAGTTGGGATGTCGATTTAAGCTGAACTCTGCTGTCAAATTCGAGTCTCCTCCGTTTCTTCTCGGGGAGACCCGTGTTTCGATTTCACCTCCAACGATTCAGACTGCCAACAGCTGCAGCTGCGCTAAACGAAAAGGCCTGGGCCTCCTTCTTACCAATCGAGCTATTCATCTTGATGCCTCTCGGATCTTCTGGTCTAAAAATATATTTTGCTTTCTGAGCGGCTGGGAGTTTGCAATCACCGTTGGGCATAAGCTTCGCCCAGAATACTGCGATTATCTACAATTCATCAGCATCGTCAGTCCTGACGAGAAGAGGTTTCCGCGCCATCTATGGATGACTCAGGGATGCAAGATCGATAAAGCAGTACCTGGATTTTGGGACGTGATTTTGCGGTGTAAAGGTCTCCGACTTCTCGAGATCCCAAGCTTATATCTACGACAAGAGGGCAACTACTTCAATATCTTGGCCCACAAGTTGACTCATTTAAGATTTCTGGACTTAACTGGCCTTAAACCATACTACCGTGCGGGTTTGCATTGGCACGACTATGCCGATCCAGGCGACCCTGATTTTCAACGCTCTACGGCATATTTAAAGTATACTCGTCGGATAGAAATACACACAGGCCTCAATAACAGCATACGTCACGCTTCATGGCGTGCCTTCGATCACGATTTCCGAATAAAGGTCGAGGAGGCTACCATGCAGCAGATTCTTGAGCCGTGGTCGAGGAGGCTTGCGAGTGGTCTCAGTCTAGCATCGGATCCTCATCAATATAACGGAAGCCACCAGGTTAGGCTACCATCGGGAGAGATGGTGACTATCACACTTTACGGTCTCCCTATAATTGAAGCATTGAGGAGGCCTGTCGGCGAGCCCGAAAGCGATTTCGGTGCCATAGGCTGAGTCTAATAGACTAGACCCGGTTTTTTTACCGGGTCCTCTCGCGAAGAGAGTTACTATTCTCACGAAGAAAGTTAGTAGGAAGGGCATGTGCCTTGAGGAATGCCTTAAGGAACGAAAGGCCTTTATTAGCGCGCGGGGAAAAAACGCTAAACTCCGTCCTCCCCCTAAAACGATTATAGCTTATAAATGCCTTAATAAGGAACGAAAGGCTCTTTTCTAGACGCGGAGAAACCTAAAACCGAAACCCCTAAAAATTTTTAACCCTCGAAAATCCCGCCTTCTAATTAGCCTAGACTTTTTTTCCCTCTCTCGTCCTAGCCCCTCCTTATAAGCTTCCTTATTATTAGTGCCTTATACCTTTCGCTATATTTTAGCCCGTGCCCTTTGCCTTGCCTTTCCTTCTAAGGACAGAGCCGATTTTTAGAGCCGGGATAGGGCCTAACTAACCTAACTAGGCTAGGCCCTCGCGCCTTTGCGTATATACTCGCGAACCTGGTTTGCCTTTAGCCACCGAACCTCTCCCGCACGGGCCGCACCCCTGACACGAGCACGGTGCCGTCTAGCGCCCGGCATCACGATAGCTTTACGTGTATTACGACTACGGTTAGCGGGCCGTAGGAGAGCCGGCCACGTTTACGTAATAAGGCGGCTCGGAATAATAGTCGGGACGAGAAGTTACTTAGGCTTAGCTTACCTAGAGCATACGTAAGCTAAGTAAGCCTTATATAGATAGATCACTACTTAGGAGCATAGCTTACTAGTAAGCTATAGTAAGCTACGAAGGGGATTACGGCTAGGACCGTGATCTAAGGATAGTCTCTATAGGTATATATAGCTACCTACTTTTACTCCTTTAGATAGATAGCTCTCTAGCTTTAATATAGATCTTTATTACGATTCTATCTTTAATTCTAATTACCTAGTTATAGTCTATAGTATATAACCTCTAACTTATTATTAATATAATATATATATTATTACTTAGACTACGCCCTATTATATCTACTAATATAAACCCCTTAATAGGTTTATCCCTTAGGAATAATACTAGTCGTTATACGTTAAAAGCTCTTATTTAGTATAATACCGCGTTACTTTAAGTAATATTATAACTATTAATATACTTATATAGTAAACTAGATTAACTAACTCTAAAGCTACTATATCGCCTTAAGATATAATACGCGAGATTATTACCTTTTAATATAAGGTATAGTTACTTAAGAATAAAGGAGGTAATAGATAAGTTAAGGACCTTAGAGAAGTAGTTAATCTAAAATAGCTAGGACTATTTAATAGTACTTATAGCACGCTTTAAGACTTTCTTACCTAACTTAAAGCCTATTATTAGTTTTGCCTTACTAAACTCTTCGACCTAGTTAAAAAGGTACTTTATATAGGAAATTATTTATTTAGAACGGTACTTACTTAGTTTAGACTTATTATAAGGGACTTTCTTAATAACTAACTAGCGCGATAAGATAATAAGATAGATAAAGTCTTTATTAGTTTTTAAGGATTTTAAGAAGCTATTATAAAGGTATTTAAAATAACTAATAAAAAATAAAAAGCTAAATAAAAACTTTAAGAACTTTAATAAAGGATCTTAGTATTAGATTATAATATAAAGTTCTATTAAGTTACCTTAAAGCTTAATCAAGATAACGAACCTCTTATATTATAATTCTACGATAGGCTTAAAGAAGAAGTTAAGGACGAGCTTTATAAGGAAAATTAACCTAATAACCTCTTAAACTATATTACTATAGTAGTATAAATCGACGATAGATAGTATATATAACGCTAAGAAAAGAACTAAGGAAGAGGAAACTAAAACCCTTCCTATAAGAATAACTTTAACTAACGCGCTAACTATAAAAAAAAGCGCGAAACTCTTATTACCTATACCTATATAACTAACCTAAGTAAGATAGATTTAGATATAATATAGAAAAGTAAAGGAAAGTATTTTAATTATAGGAAACTTAGATATTACTTTAAAGAATATAAATAACCTTATAAGGAAAAGAAAACCTACTAAGTATTAGCCTTAAAAGGTAAGAAATACTTAAACGCTATTAATAGATAGAAACTAAAGTATAAACTCCTTAGTTAAACTATATACTATAACGACGAATATATAGTATACTTAAGCGATAAGAATAGTACTAGATACTTCCTAAAGCTATTAAAGAAAACCCTTATAATAATATAATAAAGGGATCTTAAAATATAAAAATAAGTTAAATTAATAGAACTAAAATACCCTTATCTTAAAAGAGTCTCTTAAAACTAGATTAAGAAGAATAGTAAATAATTCTAAGAAGATATATAAAATAAAAATTAATAATAGCGATAGGTAGTCTATAAATAATATAATAAAAAAGATAAAGATATAGCCCTTATACTTATAAAACTTAGATAAT